TGTTTCCGTCCCCCCTTTCCTTCCCCCCGTTTGATCCGTCCACAACCACCACCTGATACTGCAGCACAGCAGGAGTGTATGTGCACTCTGCCTGTATGTGCACTCTGCCTGTATGTGCACTCTGCCTGTATGTGCACTCTGCCTGTATGTGCACTCTGCCTCTCCCCTCCCCCTTACTCCCTTCCGCCCCACCCTTGTTCCTTCCCGCTTGATCCATCCACCAGATATGGCAGCACGGCAGGGGTGTATGTCTTCATCTGCCTCTTCTTCTCCTCTTTCTTCTTCTGCACCATCACTCTCGTCTTCGCGGCCTGCCGTGTGGTACGTTCTTGCAACACCATGCGCCATCACTCATCAGTTCTTGGCATCCTTTCTGGCAACACCGTGCTCCCAGCCCTCATCTGCCTCTCTTCTTCTGCACCATCACTCTCGTCGTTGCCGCCTGCCATGTGGCACGTTGCCATAACACCATACGCCATCACTCTCTTTTCACCTCCTTGTTGCAACACCATGCTGTGCGGTCCTCATCTACCTCTCCTCCTCTTCTCTTCTTCTGCACCATCACTCTCATCTTTGCTGCGGCGCATGTGGTGCGTTGCATCTTGTCTCTGTGTTTTGCAAACCATGTGCCAACTCATGTGGAACCATGTGGTAGCCACGTGTTATGTACACCCTTTACATCACCTCCATTGTTGCAACACCACACCCCCCAGTTTTCGTGCTATGCAACCCATGCTGTGCAATAACCATGTGGTAACCATGTGGTCACCATGTGGTAACCATGTGGTCACCATATGGTAACCATGTGGTAGCCCATCCATTTCCCCACCCCCTTGCCCCCCCCCCACATCCACCCCCAGGGCTACGCGCTTATCATCTGCTGCTGAGCGGCAGCACCGCCTACTTTGCCCACCCCTCCCTATGTCTCAGCTTTCCCTGTCCTTCTCCGCCTCCCCTTCCCCCCCCATTCCCTTTCTTCCATTCCCCCGGGGCCCCCCCACCCCCTTTCCCTCAGGGCTATGCGCTAGCGCGCGACAAAGGTCTACCTTTCTCCTTCCTGTGGCGGCGCATCAACAAGCGCAAGGTGCCTGTGAACGCGCTCATGTGCACCGTCGGCATCGCCATCGTGGCGCTGCTGCCGCTGCTGGGCGGCAGCACTGCATACTTTGCCGTCACCGGCATGGCCACGGTGGGGTGGTTCGGCGCATACGGCGTGCCGATCCTCTTCCGGATCCTTCAGGACGACGGGGACTTTGTTCCTGGGCCGTTTTACCTGAGGAACTACTTTGGCAAGATCGGAAGGTGAGGAGGTGCAGTGAGGGGGAGCGGGCATGGGCATGGGCATGGGCATGGGCATGGGCATGGGCATGGGCATGGGCAGGGCATGGGCATGGGCATGGGCAGGGCATGGGCAGGGCATGGCCACGGTGGGGTGGTCCGGCGCGTATGGCGTGCCCATCCTCTTCCGGATTCTCCAAGACGCCGAGGATTTTTCCCCGGGGCTGTTTTACCTGTGGAATTGCTTTGGGTTGGAAAGATCGGTGAGGATCGGTGGGGGGGTTGTGGCTCGGCGCAGATTGGGTATACCCTCTTTTTTCCACATCCTGCAAGCGACGCGACAGAGACTTTGTTACGGGCTGTTTTTCCTGAGGAACTACTTTGGAAAGATGGGAAGGTGAGGTGTGGTGAAGGGGCCATGGGCGTGGGCTTGGTGGGGGGGATGTTTGTGTCCCTTGTTGGAACTTGCAAGAGGGTGGTTCTGCTGCAGCATTTACAGTTCCCTATTGCCGTGGTGGCACGGTGGCGCCATCGTCACACTCCCATTTCTTCCACCATCCTTCCCAAACTCAGATTCTTCTTCATACTTTCCTGCTGCCTACTGTTTCCGATTCCCCCCATGCAGTAAGTGCATACACATCCTGGCGCTGCTCTATGTGGTCTACACCATGGTCGTCTTTATGCTCCCAACGGAGTACCCAATAAATTCATCAAACTTTAATTATTCGCCCATCGGGATCGTCATTTGTGTGAGCTTCTTCCTCCTGTGGTGGATCGTCGATGCCCGTCGGTGGTTCAAGGGCCCAAAGATTGCACACGGGGTGGATGCAGACTCCACACGGGCAGGTGGCATGGCAAAGGTTTTCGAGTAGTTTAGTTTGACTGATGTAGATATCATAGAAGATACATTGCGTTGTAGGTTTTCTTCAAGAACAAGACTGGCACGGGAACACTAGGTAATGGAGTCTACTGCATAAGAAGGTTTAGAGAATAGTGCTTTTGAGTGGCTTTGTAATGTGAAGGACAGAGGTAATTTTAAAATGAAATGGATACAATATTAATGAACGAACTCTAACGAATTTATTGCCGCCAAGATCTGGGGGAGGGGGCACCTCCTTGGTATGTCTGTCAGTTGCCTGTCAGCCGGTTGAATCTATCCCGCCATGCCGTCCAAACACAGCAAGGGTACAGTGCTGAGCCGAAGCTCCCCTTGGAATTTGTTTTGCAAGAGCCGGATTTGTTTTGAGACAAGTCCCCTTGGGATTTGTTTTGCCCCTCGTGGATTTTGTTCCGTCAGTGTGTTGGTGGTGGTGCTGCTGCTCGGCTATCCTGCAGTCTGCCTAGGAGACTCGATTCTCTTCTAGGATCACGCGCGACGCATCCTGGTTCGCAGGCAGCGATCATGGCGTCGCTGGCAGCTGGGTTGCTGCGGCTCGTGCCGGTGGTGGGACCGCCAGCGGCCGCGTTGCTCATTGTTCTGGTAGACAACGCCGGTGCCGTATGCCTCGCGCTGGTCGCGATCTTCGTGTATCAATACATCAAGTGAGTGGTAATGAATGGTTGTGAGTGGTGGCTTTGGTCCCGTTCGGCTTCTCCTCTAGGATCATCTATCGCAGCTCGCAAAGATCGTCGCGTATCGCGAGCGAGTGGAGTGAGATTATTTAGTTCGACTTCTCAATATCAGTGCACAGCCGGACTTTCCATCAGGGCCATTCGGATTCCCCTCGTGTCTTCGCCAGTTTCCATTTTGAGAGCGTATAGCTGTCAATAATTTACAAGCAACAGCTATCCGAAATTCACACTCTGATCGGGTCATCCAGAAAAAAAAAAAAAAAAAAAAAAAATGTTTTTGTCTCCCTTTTTTTTCCGTTTCCATTGTTGTCCTTCGAGTACCGTCTTTGTTTATTACTGTTCGTATTTCCGCCAACTTCCATTTCCCCCGCTCCCCCATTTTCTCCTCCCCCCCCTCACCCGCCTTTCCAGCGCGAGCTTTTTCGACCCCGAGGATCGAATCTACGGGGTGCGTGCTGACGTGGACGGCCCAGGAATCACGTACCGCCACAGCCGCTTCCAGGGCCTCCTCGAGACGCCTTTCGCGGGCGCGAACACCATCCCGGACCTCTTCAACATGTCCGTTAAGAAATTCCGCAACCGCCGTCTGCTCGGCACGCGGAGATTAATCTCCCGCGAGTTCGAATTAGACGCGAAGTTAGACAAGCAGGTGGAAAGAGTAACTCTCGGGGAGTACGAGTGGGAGACGTACGAGCGCGTGCATGAGCGCGTAGTGGCGTTCGGCGCGGGGCTGATGGGGAGCGGGCATGGGCGCGGGGAGAAGCTGGCCATGTTCGCGGAGACGCGCGCGGACTGGTTTATCGCGATGCAGGGCGCGTTTCAGCACGGGCTTGTCGTGGTGACGGTGTACGCGTCTCTAGGGACGGACGCGCTGGTTCATTCGCTTAACGAGGTGAGCTTATTACGAGGATGAGTTGACTGACGGGCAGGGGCGTTTCAGCACGAGCTCGTGGTGGTGACGGTGTACGCGTCGCTGGGGACGGACGCGCTGGTGCACTCGCTTAACGAGGTGAGGGTTTAACGAGGATGAGTATTCAAAGTCTCGAGTAGGGGGCGTTTCAGCACGGGCTTGTGGTGGTGAGGGTGAATGTTGAAACACGGATAGGGGGCAGGAAAGGAAGGGTAAGGACTTGGCTGATCTGCAGTTTTGTGGTTGGATGCGGTTGAATGTGGTTGAATACGACTCTCCCATGCTTAATTACTTGCAAACGTACCTGCCAACTTCACATCCTGCTTGCTCCTTCTCTTCGCCTCGTTCCCCTTCTCTGCTTCTAATCTTCTCCTGTCACCCTATTCTTCTCTTCTCGTTTCTCTTCTTCTCTCCTTCTCGTCTTGTCTTGTTCTCTTCGTCCGTTATGTTCAGACCGAAGTGGCAACAGTGGTGTGTGATAGGAAGCAGTTTGACAAGCTCGCAGAGGTACACTCCCGCCTCGCTACAGTGAAGCGCGTTATAGTCATGGCGGAGCAGAAGGCTGATAACGAGACTGTCAGTAACGAGGATCCGTTTCCCAGCACCATAGGGAGTATCACAGTGATTCCCTATGCTGACGTGGAGGCTAAAGGGGTGGAGAGTCCAGTGGAGCCGAATCTGCCGCAGTCGTCTGACCTGGCATTCATCATGTACACGTCAGGATCCACTGGAGTTCCCAAGGTACGTTAGCCCAGCCAATCCCTTCGATTCCCAACCATTGCATGCTGATCGCATTCCATCCCATTCCATGCCATCCCATGCCATGCCATGCTGTTCCATACCATGCCATGGCTTCACATCCCGTCCTGTCACTGTCCCCTCCATCTCCTTCCCTCACTTCCGTCCTTCCTGCTCCCCTCCATCTCCGCTTCCGTTCTGCTCGTGCCCCAATGCACTCCCCCATTCCACAACCCCCCCCACTTCTCCATCCCATACCATTCACCTCCCCCTCAGGGTGTGATGATGACACATGGCAACCTGGTGGCAGTCTTTGCAGCAGTCATGGCGCTCGTGCCCGATGCAGATGAGAACGATGTGTACATCGCCTACCTGCCGCTCGCCCACTCCTTGGAGCTCACTGCCGAGGTGGGTTGCGTTTGTAGGCTCGTTAGTGGGATAGCTCTTGGCTCTTTGCAGCAGTCATGGCGCTCGTGCCCGATGCAGATGAGAACGATGTGTACATCGCCTACCTGCCCCTTGCGCACTCGCTGGAGCTCACAGCAGAGGTGAGCGAGCTGTGCTTGAAGGCTCTGTGGGTGTGATGGCTCTCTCGACTTGCCTCTTTGGTCCAGCCGCTCACTGCTGAGGTGCGCTGCGTTTGTAAGCTGTGTGGACATGAGGCTCTTTGGTCTGTTCTCTCGTGCCAGATGCCGATGAGAACCATGTGTGCGCTGCCTACCTGCCCCTTGCACACTCCCTCGAGCTCATAGCCGAGGTACGTTGTACTGCTGGTCTTAGGCTCTCTGGGTACGTGAAGCAGCACCATACTGCCAGTGCGAACCATGTGTGCATTGCCTACCTGCCCCTTGCACACTCCCTCGAGCTCGCTGCGGAGATGCGCTGCATTTGTAAGCTCTGTGGATACGACCCTCTTTGATCTGCTCGCTCGTCCCGGATGCCGATGAGAATGATGTGTACTTTGCCTATCTGCCCCTCGCACACTCCCTTGAGCTCACTGCGGAGGTTAGTGTTGGATAAGCAATGGGTATATGAAGCGATGGTTACACATTGCCTATCTGCCGCTTGTGGCCTCAGGCTCTCTGGTGTACGAGGATATGGGTTCAGGCTCTCTGGTGTATGAAGCACCATGATGCTTTTTGAGTCGACTCAAAAGTCACCTGGCAGTGTGAAGCACCATGGTGCGGTGGAGAGCGATGAGTGCATTGCCTTCCTGCCCCTCGTGTACTCCCTTGAACTCACTCACTGCCTATGTGACCACCTTCGATTGCCTCACTCTTGTACTCCAAGCATTTCGAGCCTTCTGCAGAGGCAAGTGCTGTGTTAGCTGCCTCGTGTCTCGAGGTATCTTATTACCAATCAGGTCGAAGCTTGAATCTGTAGGTGAGGACACCTTTTGCTCATCGCTCCCTTCTGCCCTCATCTGCAATAACCCCCCCCACACACACACACCCCTCTCCCACCCCCAACTGTTCGTCTATTGCACCAGACGGGCATGGTGTCGATAGGAGCAACCATCAGGTACGGGTTGCCCCTCTCTCACGGTGATCGATGGGGCAGGCGAGCTCAAGGCCAGAGGCAAGGGCGACCTGTCCGCTCTGCGCCCCACCCTCACGCTTGCCCTCTTTCCAACCCACCCACATGGCATGGTATCCCCCTTCCAACCAGACTGGCATGGTATCCATAGGAGCAACCATCGGGTATGGCTCGCCTCTCACGGTCATCGATGGGGCAGGCAAGCTCAAACCCGGGGGACAGGGCGATCTGTCTGCTCTACGCCCCACCCTCATGGCTGCCGTGCCCGCCATTCTGGATAAGATCCGCGACGGGGTCAGGAGGAAGGTGAGTGCGGTGGTATGTGGTGATGTGCGGTGGTGTGCGGTGAAGAGAGGTGAGCCTGTGGTAGAAAGCAGAGTGTTGTAGTGATGGCTGCTGGGGCCAACGGCGATCTGTCTGCGCTGCGCCCCACCCTCATGGCTGCCGTGCCCGCCATTCTGGATAAGATCCGCGACGGGGTCAGGTGGAAGGTGAGTGCGGCGATGTCCGTCCACGCTGCACCCCATCCTCATGGCTGCCGTGCCTGCGATTCTTGATAAGATCCGCGATGGGTTGAGGCATGAGGTGGGTGCAGTGGTGTGCGGTGGTGAGCGGTGGTGAGCAGTGGTGTGCAGTGAAAAAAGGTAGGTCCATGGTAGGAAGCAGAGCGTCACTGTGATGGCTGGTGGGGCCAAGGGACATTCGTCCACATTGCGCCCCACCCTCATGGCTGCTGTGCCGACCATTTTCGTATAGGATCCGCACTGCGTTCAGGTGGAATGTGAGTGGATCGACAATACAGCTGTCACTGTAATGCGTGATCCCCCATTTCTCCCTCCCTCCCTCCCCTTCTCCTGCCTCTCCTCCAGATGGCAACGCAGTCCCCCACGGTGCAGCAGCTGTTCGACCTCGCATACAGCCGACGATTGGCGGCGATCAACGGCAGCTGGGCGGGCGCGTGGGGGCTGGAGAAGCAGCTGTGGGACGCGCTTGTCTTCAAGCGCATCCGGGCAGCGGTGGGCGGCAGGCTGCGGTACATGCTGTCGGGGGGAGCGCCCCTGTCGCCTGACACTCAGCGGTTCATCAACGTGTGCTTTAAGTGAGTGCTTCTGTATCCCAGTGTGTGTGCGTGTCACGAGTAGGAGAGTGGTGTGTTATACTGAAAGAAGAGCATGCAGCATGGCAAGCTGCGCTACATGCTGTCGGGAGGAGTGCCCCTGTCGCCTGACACTCAGCGGTTCACTAACATGTGCTTTAAGTGAGTGCACCTGTGCGCTTTCCCACCTGACACCCCGGCCGTTTCTGTTTCTCTCTTACGCCGTTCTTCTCATCTTGGGTTCGTGTCTGATTTTCCCCATTTTTCTCATTTCTTGTGTGCCGTTTCTTGTTTTCCAACTTGCAGCGTTCCCATTGGCCAGGGCTATGGCCTCACAGAAACATGCTCTGGAGGAACCTTTGCAGAGTTTTCTGACACCTCTGTGGGGAGAGTTGGCCCACCTATCCCCTGCTGCTACATCCGGGTGAGTTCTGTATTCCCTGAACGTTTACATTTGCACTGCTGCTACACCCACGTGGGTCCCACAGTGCTGCTACACCCAGGTGGGTCCTACACTGCTGCTACACCCAGGTGAGTCCCACAGTGCTGCTACACCCAGGTGGGTCCTACACTGCTGCTACACCCAGGTGAGTCCCACAGTGCTGCTACACCCATGTGGGTCCCACACTGCTGCTACACCCAGGTGAGTCCCACAGTGCTTCGCTGCTCTCCCTCTCCCTTTTGAACTGGGAGGAGGGCAACTACGCCCTGACAGATCAGCTGTGTTACCATGTTACCACGACATGCCTCAATGATCCATGATCCCCGCTCTCCCCGCGTTCCCTCTTTCTCCATCTGACCCAGCTGGTGGACGGGCACGAGGGCAGCTACCGCGTGTCAGACCAGCCTACCATGTTACCATGTTATGCATCGATGTTACATCATCTCTCCCCTACTTTCTCTTTTTGCATCCGACCCAGCTGGTGGACGGGCACGAGGGCAACAACCGCATGGTGCCACTATGTAACCGCACCCATACTCACTGGTTAACTTCCTCTGCTCTTTGAATCACTTTGCATCCAACCCAGCTGGTGGACTGGCATGAGGGCAACTACCGTGTGACAGACCAGCCATTGCCGCGGGGGGAGATCATGATCGGAGGGCCGTGTGTCACCCCCGGGTACTGGAAGAACCAGGAGGCCACAGATGCCGTGTACTCAGTGAGTGGGTGTGCACAGGGGTGTGAAGCGGTGGGGATGAGTGTGATCGGAGGGCTGTGTGTCAACCCAGGGTACTGGAAGAACCAGGAAACCACAGATGCTGTGTATTCAGTGTGTGGGTGTGCACAGCGGTATGACAGTGGGGGGTATGAGTTTGTCAGACCAGCCTCTATCGAGAGGGGAACTCATGATCGGAGGGCTGTGCGTTACCACGCGGTAGGAAGAACCAGGAGGCCACAGATGCCGTGTACTTGGTGAGTGGGTGTGCGAAAAAGGGGGGAAGAGGTGGGGAAGAAAGAGTGGGGGGGAAAGGGTGTGGGAGGGTGCGGGGCTGAGAAAGGTAGCATGGGTAGACAGTGAGGGCATCCGGTGGTTTGCAACGGGCGACGTGGGGGAGGTGCATCCAGACGGGACAAACTGCATTGTGGGAAACACTTCATTCTGTTCTTCCTTCCGTTCCACCTTTTTTTTCGTTCCACCTCTTTCTTTCCCCCTTTCCTTTCTTTTCAGGTGGACAGCAAGGGCATACGGTGGTTTGCAACGGGCGACATAGGGGAGGTGCACCCGGACGGGGTGTTTCAGATCATCGACAGGAAGAAGGACATTGTTAAGCTGCAGGCAGGGGAATACGTGTCGCTGGGGAAGGTAAGGCGTGAGGACAGACAAAATCACAAAGAATACTGCCGTCTGTGCGTGTGTGTTTATCTAGATTGCACATCTTCCTTTTCTTTTCTCTCCTCTTTCTTGGGCTTCGTAAACCTCTTCAGTGCGAAAGCGACAGTAAAAAATAAAGTGATTGAGCCTCTGTGTGAACACGCCCAACAACACCTTGCAGTCTCTTGTCTTCATTTTCCTTCCCGTATCCATTCTCTGATCGTATTCCCAACACCAGGTGGAGGCAGTGCTGCAAGTGAGCTCCTTTGTCGAGAACGTGATGCTCTACGCCGACCCGTTCAAGACCTTCACCATAGCGCTCGTGGTGCCGTCCAAGCCGGCCCTGGTTGCCTGGGCCAAGGCACAGGGTGTGGATAGCTCTGACTATGCTGCACTGTGTGCGAATCCCGATGCGGTCTCTCAAGTGCTCGAGTCTCTTGCTGAGGTGAGGTGGCTGGATGTAGTCCAATGGTCGTGCATAGTAGGGTCATCTTGCTCCTCCTTCATTCTCTCTTTAGATACAACTTGGTTTTGTTCGAGTATTTCCATGCTTTAATTGAGCGGTTTTTTCACCTGGTTTTGCTGTGCCTTTCTGTGAATCAAACAGGTGAGCAAAGAAGGCAAACTCCAAAAGTTTGAAGTGCCTGCTAGGATCAAGCTGCTCCAGGAGCCATGGACCCCTGACAGCGGCCTGTTGACAGCAGCTTTGAAGCTAAAGCGGGATGTTGTTCGCCGAAAGTTTCAGCAGGACCTTGATGCTCTGTATGACTAGCTGACTTGACATATATCAAACTTGTAAGTGCCGTAGGTAGATGATTTGTTCGCCTGATAGGTTTGGTCCTTGAAACTTACAAATGAACTGCAGTTGTATCGATGTTCTCGGCAGCGAATATAGACCATAAGATGGTTTTGCGCGACATGCTCCGATGGATTCACCATCGACGGTGCCTACAGTCCTGCTGAGCTGATCCCAACACCGAACGTGGAGGATCAAACCGAAACAAACAAACGGTGACCAATCAATGACAGACTTGTTCGGGTTTGATGCTGCCCAACATGTGAATTCGACGAACCAGGTGCTCCCTTTTCCCACAGTCCGACTCTTGTGCCCTTCCCCAGTGACGACATCGCCGAAAGGACCAAGGGGGACATTGATGCATGCAAGGTCACCTTCCCCGATAATTTTCCTCCGACGAATTCAAACTCTTACTCTGCTCTGATTGGCTCGGCTGACTAGCTTTCTGTGTCGGCACCACCAATCCCTAGCTGCAAAGCGAGTTTCGGCGTGTTTATCTCATTCGTAGGGTTACAGCTTCATGAGGTCGAGGAAGCTCGCAGCCAGGCGACACTGCCGTCATCACAGTCGGGCGAATACAGAAACATCGTCGGCGAGTCGTTGGACAGCATGTGCGAGGAGTGCCATTTCCCCCTTCCGCTCAAAACCTAGGCTCACCACCGCGATCATATCCCCATGCCCATGCTTACTCTCCAAGCAGGCGCGCACGCGGTAGGCGCAAGACCAGGGGACAGACAGACGGGCGGAAGTGAAATTCGAAGACTTTCTTCCGCCACCTTGCCCCTCCCATCCCTCGTCCAGCCGCGCCTCACCCCCCCTACGCTCCAGACTTCGTCCACGCCTTTCCTCTTACGCTCCCCCCCCCCCCCCCCCCCCCCCCCCCCCCAAAAAAAATCCGCCCTCCGCGCACGTTGGGGATTTTCGTCTTCACGCACACAAGCCAAATCGTTTTGCCGACGGATGATGAAATACGTCGGTCCCGCCAATTCAACAACACATCGAAAGAGTGTGAGACTGCTAGATCACTGCTCTTCTCAGCTTGAAGCTCCTCGCTTCTCACACTTCTTGCCTTATATTCGTGCAACCGCAGCTCCCTTCTCATCGCGAAGAGAAGAAAGTAAAGCGCGAAGAACAAGAGCCGGTTTTCGTTTCGGAATTAGCTGAATTATAACTGTCGCATCACAAGCCGTTGTTTTTGTTGCTCTCCCTCACCATGGCCGGATCGCCTTTTCCCCGCGCGCACGAGAACGGACATGCAACACAACATGGCACCCACCCCAAAGGTGACCGTCGTTTAGCCTCCAACATCGCGTCGGCTTTCCGAACGCACTTCATTTTTCGCGAGACTTCCCGTCTGTCTCTGCTCCGCTGCTTTTCTCCAGCAGTTCTTCCTGTGGCTTCTTTATGAAACGTCCGGCTAATCAGACCGGAGACGATTGTGCGACGATTGTTAACCGTCCGATTGTGTGTTGATGATCGCAGAGGTGTGCATCGTGGCGGCGGCGCGCACGCCCATGGGCGGCTTCATGGGCGCCCTCTCTTCCCTCCCTGCCACCCAACTCGGATCGGTCGCCATCAAAGGTGCGCTATGCGATTTGCGCTACGCGGAGTTCAGCGCTACGCGTTACGAGTGTTTCTCCAGATTCTTGCCTCCTGTGAGAAAGCGAGAACCTTGTCGTTCATGTGAGATTTCTCCAGTGAGCAGTGCCTTTCTTTTCCCGTTTCCACGAATTCAAGCCGACCTTTTACATTTTCAATCACCAATCTGCCTCAAATTAACGAGTTTCCTGACGAAGTTCGTTCTCTCCTCGTCTCCCTCCCCGCAGAGGCCGTGCGGCGCTCCGGCCTGGAGCCTGCTGACGTGGAGGAGGTGATCATGGGCAACGTGCTCAGCGCCAATCTCGGTCAGGCACCCGCGCGCCAGGCGTCCATGGGCGCGGGCCTCCCCGAGAGCGTCGTCGCCACCACCGTCAACAAAGTCTGCGCGTCGGGAATGAAAGGTGCGGACAGGCTTTATCGGTAAACCTATTATTTTCTTTGAGTTTTCTTTTTTTTGTCCAGGCGGTGGTCATGCAGCTTCCGCAGAATGCTGCATTTTCTTTCAAGCGTGCCGTTGCCCACGTCGCTTCGTCGGAGAATCGCTGTGCGTCGCCTTTCCGCCCTCCGCCCAAATCTCTCCCTTCGCTCCCTTTCCCCCCTCTCTCCGCAATTTCCTCACGTCCCCGGTCTTCGCCCTCATCCCCATCCCCCCCCCTGCCCTCATCCCGTCCCCCCCGACACAGCCATCGCGCTGGCGGCGCAGTCGATAATGCTGGGGATAATCGAGGTCGTGGTGGCGGGCGGCATGGAGAGCATGAGCAACGCGCCGTACTATCTCTCCAACTTTCCCCACTCCCTTTCCCCTCGTTTCCCCCGTCTCCTCCATCTCCGCTGCTCTGTTTTCCTGTTTCCTGTCCCCCATCTCCACTGTTTTCCACAGCCATCGCGCTGGCGGCGCAGTCAATCATGCTGGGAATCAACGAGGTCGTGGTGGCGGGCGGCATGGAGAGCATGAGCAACGCGCCGTATTACCTCTCCAAGGCGCGCGGCGGCTACCGCTTCGGCAACGCGGAGATCATGGACGGCATGCAGCGGGACGGGCTGTGCGACGCGTACGCTGACGACCCCATGGGATGCTTCGCGGAAACGTGCGCGGAGGAGTATAACATCTCGCGCGCGGATCAGGACGACCACGCTGTGCTGACACATCAGCGCGCCGCAGCGGCGAATGCGGAGGGGGCGTTTGAGTGGGAGATCGTACCGGTGGAGGTGAAGGTGGGGAAGGGCAAGCCGGCTTTAATCGTCGATCGCGACGAGGCGTGCGCCAAGTTCGACGAGAAGAAGCTGCGGAATTTACGGCCGTGTTTTAAGGAGCACGGGACGGTCACGGCGGGGAACGCGTCGGCGATTAGCGACGGCGCCGCGGCCGTGGTGCTGACGAGCCGCGGCAAGGCGGACAGCCTGGGGCTCAAAGTGCTCGCCGTGATTCGCGGCTTCGCTGACGCAGAGCAGGTGAGGGCCGTTGCCAAGCCGTTGCGTGGCGCGAGAGACATGGGAAGGGCAAACGGGGGTGAGAATGCCATCAGTTCACATCTCCCAGGATGCACATTCCCCCTCCCCTCCCCCGCTCCGCTGCTCCCCTCCCCCCCCTCCCCCCCCTCCCCCCACTTCCCCAAGTCCCGCCCCCGCTTCGCCACATCTCCCGCGCCTCTTTCCCCGCGCCTCGTTCCCCGCGCCTTGAAGCAGCAGTGCCATCCCGCGCACACTCTGCAGCACCATGTCGTGTGCGCGCATTGATGTTCCCCCCTCCCTTGTCTTGTGCTCCTATCCTCCCTTCCCCCCCCCCTTCCCCGCGCTTTCAGGCCCCTGAGCGCTTCACCACGGCCCCCGCGCTCGCCATTCCGCGCGCCCTGAAGCATGCGCGCATCGACCCCGCCGAGGTCGACTGCTGGGAGATCAATGAAGCCTTCTCCGTACGTGCCACCGCCCCTCCTGCCACCCCTCCTGCCGCCGCCCCTTCCGTCCCTCCTGCCGCCCCTCCTGCCGCCCCTCCTGCTTTCCTGCTCCCAGTTGCATCTCACCTTCTTCTCCTTCCTTCACCTGCTTCATCTCCACCTGCCTTCTCTTACTCGGGTTGTACCCGTCTCAACCTACTCTCGCCTGCCCTCCTCTCTCTACCCCCTCCCACCTCCTCTCCTCTCCCCTGCTCCCGCTCTCCATCCCCTCCTACCGGCCTTCGCTCTTCCTCCTCCCCCCGCTGCTTCACTCATGTGACTTTCGCCCCTGCCCACTCCATTTTCCCTGCCTGCTCCACTCGCCCCCTCCCACCCCCTCCTCCGCGCTTCCAGGTGGTGGCACTGGCCAATCAGAAGCTGCTGAACGTGCCGGCAGATAGACTCAACATGCATGGAGGCGCCGTGGCGCTCGGGCACCCGCTGGGGTGCAGCGGGGCGCGCATCATCGTCTCGCTGCTGGGGGTGAGTGTGGCTTAGGGTATGCGTGTGTGAATGTGATGCGCGTGAGTGTCGCTTGAGCTTGGGGTAGGGGTGGGTGGCAGAGTGGGTAACGGGCTATATTTGGAATGTGCGTGGAGGCACTGTGGCGCTCGCGCACCCATATGACTGGAGTGAGTGTGCACGTGAGTGTGGCTTGGAGCAGGAGTGTGTGGAAGCAGTGGGGCTGAAGGGACCTTCATAAGGGGCAGGGGGTGTGAGTGGCATTGTTCTGCTGCTTGGCGTGAGGGGCACTGGTGAGTGTGATGACCGTGGGTTGGATAAGGACATGCTAGTTTTCCTTCACTCACGGGTTCTGGTCTGATGCTAATACTTCCCTTACTGCGGAACCACCCCTTTGTGTTTCCACCAATCAGGTGCTGCGGCGGAAGGGTGGCCAGATTGGTGTTGCTGGTGTGTGCAACGGGGGAGGTGGAGCCTCGGCCATGGTCATCGAGGCCGAGTAAGCATTTTCTTCCCTTCTCTCGCGTTGTTCTTTCTCTCCACCTCTCTCCTTCCCTCCGCCCTTCCTTCCACCATTTTCACACCTGTTCATGCCTAATCTCTGTGTTAACATGCTTCGTCCTCCCCATCCCCCCTTTTACTCCATTGAGCCGGTTGCTTCCAGGCAGACACTCACCATGTATCTGCTGTTGTCTGCGTGTCTTGTTTGTGTGCGTGACACTTATCTATGTGCAGATCCTTGGATCACTCCACTGCCCATGCGCACCTGTGATCTAAGGGGTTCTTTCAGGATACCTGAATATGCGGATTGCTTCTATTCGTGTGTTTCCTTTTATGGTTTGCTCCTTGTGTGAGCGGTTGAGGCCTCTCAATAGGGTGCCTTGTGATTGGTGCTCCCTTGAGCCGCCTCAACAGCACACCCTGTTGAATGCTCCTGGCTCCCTTTGTCTACTTGGACTAGAATCCTCCAGCAAATGCAATCTCTCCCGTTGCTTGTGGAAAACGTGTAATGTACTTCTATGATACATGGACGGAAAACGTTTTTTCGTTGAAGTGTACATAACAAGCTTAGGTCTGTTCACATTTTAAATAAATGATGGACTAACGGTTTGAATCGGTGGAAACTCAGAATCGTCCTCAACCCGTTTTTAACGTACCATGTACGTAAAACTGTGACCCGCCCTTATTTCACTCACGCACTCTTCTTGCGAGCTGGCTGTAGTCAAGTGGTCCTTCGAAGAATATGTACGAACATGACGTCATCAGCCCAACTTCCTCGCTCTTGCCTAGCTCCCGCATCAGTTTTTCCTGCATTCCCGCCATCTGTCATGTCAAACTGATTGTGACTCACACAGATCAACGGCTCACAATTGTTTGGTGGCGCTGCTGACAGAGGAACCCAGCGCAGCAGCTTCGGAACAGATTGTCTTTCGCTACTATGAAGTTACAGATAAACGCTTGTCGCCAGCTCTTCGTCGAAGGGCGTGTCAGAGGGAAACGCAGGGATTCGCATAGCAGACTAGGCTGTTCGCTGTTTCTCCTCGGAATCATTTGCTGAAGTGTGTTCAATCCATGGCGTCGAGTATCTTCGTCCTCCCCATTCGCATCTCAATCTATTGTTCAAGCAGTTTTTAATAGACTTCTGGAAACGAATATAGGCTGTTGAACTGCTGACTTCTGGGTTTGTGAAAACCGAGCTTGAGATTCGGTTTCCACCTGAGTTGTGTCTCAGCCATTGTTGAAGCGACAATCCCGTGATTTGTATATATCCGAAGAGTACTAGCAACGCGCTTTCACGATCTCGTAGGCACAAGCTTAGTTTGAGACGTCTTAGAAGTAGCCTTCACGCTTTCAATCTTCAAATAAGCATGTCGAACCTCTTAGGTCCCTCCGGCACCTCAACGTTCCCGTCACCGCTTTTCGAGGCGACTCAAAACTCGACGTTCCCGTCGCCAACCTTCTCCAGCGCACCTTGGGATTCCATGTTCTCGCCGGCGCAAGGATGCGCCGCGACTCCTTCCGCGATTCCCCCCTCTGACTGGGCTCTGAATCCCGACCCTCCGGCAGTAGATTGTGCCGTCTCTTCGGCATCGCCGATTTTCTCTTCGTTTCAAACCAACCTCGAGATTGCTCCAGAAGGACTAGCTCACGCCGTTGCATGCTCGGAAGGGATCCACCTGGAGTCTTATCCGCCAGCTCAGGCGGTTCCTTCTGGGTCTTCGGGCCACGTCAGCAGCGCGGCGTCGGGACTTGACTGGGATCAGGTGCGACATCTGCTGGCGGACGGAGAGGAGGCGGAGGAGAAGGGGAATGGATTTGACAGGATGAGTAGATTCGAGAAACACGCTGAAGTTGATGAACGAATAGGGTGGGGAAGGGGTGGCGGAGGGGAAAAGGAGGAGAAGGTCGCTCAGTTAAGATCCGCTCTGCCCGTTGGAGATGAGTTAGTTGTCGCACCTCCTGTCGCTTCCGCTGTCGTTCCCCCTCCCGCTTCCGCTTCCCCCTCCCCGCTGTCTGCTGTCGCGGCGGAGGGCGAGCCGATCTTCCTCCCTGCTTGCCCGGACGGCTGCGATTGCGCAGGCTGCCAGCTGTTGCATTTTCATTGGCTCGACCGGTTCTCCCCCGCACCCTATTCTGGGATTGGGGAGGGCGGCGGATGGGTTGCGCGGAAAGGGGACGACGCGGAGAGGAGCGGAACGGGTGGCGCAGAAGTGCTGTTGCGGAGGGACGCGACGGGCGCAGGAGCAGAGGCGGGCGGAGGAATAGCGATGAGCGGAGGAACGGGGGAAGGCGGAGGAGCGGAGGAGCAGGGGGCGCCTCCTTTCGCACCTCATTTCTCCGCCTCTTCGTTTCCGCCATCGTTTCCGCCATCGTTTCCGCCATCGTTTGCGCCATCGTTTGCGCCCTCCTTCACGCCATCGTTTACACCGTCGTTCACGCCTGCGACCGCCGCCTCGTGCCCGCCTCCCTCCGCGCGACTCCCTGGCCTCGCCTCCCCGAGTCCTCCTCGCAAGCGACCGCTGCTGCTCGCCCCGCCTGTCGCCGCTGCGACGCTGAGCGCCACACGTGGCAGCACACGTGGCGTTACGACTGAGTTGACCACCACACAGTACGTTGCTGGCGAAGAGAGCTTCGCTGGGAGCATTGGTGTGAGCATCGGTGGAAGCACCGGTGTCAAGGCAACTAGCACTGCTGTTAAGACGACCAGCAAAATCGCGTCTGCCGCCCAAAACAGCAGCTTTCCTGGCGCTCGCCGCCCGGCCGACATGTCCTCCAGGCTGGCACAGCTGCTGGAGGAAATCAAATCTCCAGGCCGGGCGGCAGCAGCCAACGCCGCCGTGTCAGCCGCAAATACAGTCGGGGTGGGCTCCTGCACCAGAGATCTGATTCGCCGGCCAGTGATTCGCCAGGTGGCGGGACGCAAGAGGGCGAGTCAGCATCACAGCACCCACAGTCGCCTCAGTAGTGATTCGGGCAGTGAGAACAGCAAGAGTGGTAGTGGTAATGGCAGCTTCAGTGGCAGTGGTAGTGGCAGCGGCAGCGGCAGTGGTAGTGGTAGTGGCAGCGGCAGCGGCAGTGGTAGTGGCAGTGGCAGCGGCAGCGGCAGTGGTAGTGGCAGTGGCAGTGGCAGAAGTGCGAGCGACGGTGTCCCTCCGTCCCCCCCATCTTCCCTCGCCCTCGTTCCCTCGCACTGCTACACCTCGCCACCTGCTGCCGTTGCCTTCGGGTCCATTCTGGGCACGTGTGCAGCAAACCCCTATCCGGGCAGCTTGAACAATCCAGGCAGTCCGGGCAGCCTAGGCAGTCCGGGCAGCAGCAGCAGAAACCAGAAAGGCCCCTTGGAGTCGTTTTCCCGGGTCACCAGCCTGAACCTCTCAGCGGCCCTCCCGCCCCGGGGCGTTGAAGCGTCCCAGGGTCCGACCAGCCTGACCCGCCCTCCTGTCTTCTCGCCATTGCCTTACGCTCCCTCCTTCTCAACCCCTCTCCCTGACCACTTGGCTTACCTAGCCCAAACCGGAAACGTGGGAGGTTCAGATCGGTACCAATTCTTCCAGCACTGTTTACCGCCTGCAGATTCTCCTGCCACGTGGCAGGATGCCACTGGCCGGTCAACGCAGTCAAGCAGGTCAACGGGAGGTGCAAGCGCGGCTTCCAGGAAGCGGAGGGCGAGCTCTGGAGGGGGGAAGGTGGGAGGGGGACAAGGGGAGGGGGGGACAGCGGGGGAGGGCGTCTGGCGGGGGAGCAGTGGGGCTGGCGGGGCGCAATTGACAGGGGCGCGGGCAGGGACAGGGGCAGTGACAGGGGCAGGATCACCAGCAGATTCTTCAGACGGGGCAGTGGCAGGGGCAGGGGCAGGTTCCTTACCGGGTGGAGGACTGGATGGTGCTACGCTGGGGCAGATGGGCCAGATGGGGGGAATGGGCCAGATGGGGGGAATGGGCCAGATGGGGCAGATGGGGCTTGATGCATCTGCGCTTGAGCGCATGGGGGTGAATCCGGGCATGCTGGCGGGCATGGGGGTGGATGCGGGCGTGTTGAGGGGCATGGGCGTGGACATGGGCATGTTGCAAGCCATGGGGGTGGATGCTGCCATGCTGCACAATCTAGGGTTCACTCCTGAAACATTAGAACAGCTAGGCTTGGGGGGCGCGGCTAGCGGTTGTGCTGGTAGTGGTGGTGGTGATGGCGGTGGCGCTGCTGCTGGTGCTGCTGATGCTGCTAGTACGCGCCCTGGTTGCTCTGCTGACGCTTCTGGTGGCGATGGGGAGTGGAGGGGCGAGGACGGGAGGGACGAGGAGGAAGAGATGGAGCAGGGGGAGGAGGAGGAGAGAGGGGGGAGTGGAAGGGGAGGAGGGGAGGAGGAGGAGGTGTCGATGGCAGTGGTGCTGCAGAGGCTGGAAGAGCTGGCAGAGGCCTCCGCAGCACGTGATGAGGTACGTCCCCAAACCAATGGAAATTGTAGCCTTGGAGAGATTTTGGCAGCAAAATGGTAGCAGGTGGTTTTTAAGATTCTCAAAAGCTAGGTGCGGTGCGGCAAAAGCTGAAGGATCTGGCAGAGGCAACAGCAGCACGCGATGACGTCCGTTTCTTCACCAAATTAGCAATTCTTGACCTAGGAGTGCACCTAGGAGTGCAACTCCAGGCCCTCAGCACGTGGCCTTGTTTCCCCCCACACTCCCCCCCTCGCAAACCCCCTCTTCCACCAGACCCTCTCCTGCCACCTGCTGCCCCACCTGCGCCCACTGGTCAATGAGCAAGGCGGCAGCCCACGTCACCCAGGCCATTCACCCCCTTCTCCCCCCTCCTCTTTCACATTCCCCTTCTCTCTCGACCTCCCCTGCCCCCAGACCCTTTCCCGGCAGCTGCTGCCCCACCTGCGCCCACTGGTGAGCGAGCGCGGAACTGCAGCACAACGAGTAGCAGCGCACTTCACCCAGGCACTCGCAGCCCGGCAGGCGGGGTGCGGGGCAGAGCAGTACAACCGCGGGCTCAACGCGTCCTCCCAGGAGATAGTGGCCTCCATGGAGCGCTGCTTCGCCATGTTCCCACGAGTAGCACACTTGCCCACGTCATGTTCCCCCCTCCCACTCCCCTCCCCCCTCACTCCCTTCTCCCAATCAGACCCTCTCGCGTCGCCTGCTGCCCCACCTGCGCCCACTGGTCAACGAGCGTGGAACGGCAGCGCAGAGAGTAGCAGCGCACTTCACCCAGGCGCTGGCAGCCAGGCAGGCGGGGTGCGGGGCAGAGCAGTACAATCGCGGGCTCAACGCGTCCTCCCAGGAGATCGCAGCCTCCATGGAGCGCTGCTTCGCCTCGCTGCCCTATCTGGACTTCTGCCACGTGGCGGCTATGCGGCCTGTGCTGGCGGCAGTGAACGGCAGCCGTCGGATCCACATCATCGTGTTTGGGTTCTGGATGGGGCGGTACTGGCTGGAGCTGCTGCAGGTGAGGAACCTGCTTGTGTGAGGCAGATGCTGCCACTGCTGCTGCTGGTGTGTTGCCGTCATGCATGGTAAACTGTAGCCCTGCTTTCCTTCCACATCACCCCATCGTCACCAGTTGAAAAGAACAAGCTGTAAAAGCTCTGGATTCTGCTACCTCACCTTTCCTCTTTGCCTCACCATTCCAACATCATCCTCACCAGTCTGGAGCTCACAAAGCTTGCACTCACTTTGCTGCTGCTCCAATCATTCAACCAACCCCCTTCCATGTGCCCCCACCCCTCTTTCAGGCCTTCGCTTCCTTCCCAGGGAGTCCTCCCTCTCTAAGAGTGACAGGCATCGACATCACATGCCGCAACGAGCACACACCTTATCTTCGCCGTTCACCTCCCCCTTGTCTTCGAGACGTCTCAAAAACAACCTCGCTTCACGTGGTTTTGAGACGTCTCAAAAACAACCTCGCTTCCCGTGGTTTTGAGACGTCTCAAAAACAACCTCGCTTCCCGTGGTTTTGAGACGTCTCAAAAACAACCTCGCTTCCCGTGGTTTTGAGACGTCTCAAAAACAACCTCGCTTCCCGTGGTTTTGAGACGTCTCAAAAACAACCTCGCTTCACATGCCGCAACGAGCACACAGCTTATCGTCGCCGTTCACCTCCCCCTTGTCGAACCCTCCAGGCTTTGGCACCCACCCTCTCTCCGCGTAACAGGCATGGTTGTCATATGCCGCAACGAGCTCATAGACTCCAAATCCTCTGCTGCCTTTCCTTGTCTGCCCTTCACCCCTGCCCTTGTTTCTCCTCCCTCCCAGGCCCTAGCTGCTTTCCCAGGCAGCCCTCCCTCCCTGCGAGTAACAGGCATCGACGTCACATGCAGGAACGAATTGACGGATTCCAAGTCCTCTGCTGCTTTCTCCGGCCGCCTGCTCTCCCGCGCTGCCGCTGCTCTCGCCATCCCCTTCCGCTTCAAAGCTGTTGTTCTCCCTGTCGGCCCCGCTGCTGCCTCCATGCCGCTCGAGGGGAAGGGAGGGGGTGGCGGAGGGGGAATGGGGGCCGGGGGGAGCGGGGGAGGATTCAGGGGGAGTGGGGGAGGGGTTGGGGGAGGGTTCGGGGGGGCGATGGGGATGCGGTCGGTGGTGGGGGGGTTGGAGGAGGAGGTGGAGGTGGAGGAGGGGGAGGCCACGGTGGTGCAGTGCAACATGAGTCTGCTCTTTCTGGCAGATGACTCGGTGCTTCGGGCCAACCCACGCGACACACTGCTCAGGGTGAGTGCTGGGCAGAGCAATTGAGCGCGCATGGGAAGGTGAGTGCTTGTTGGAGCAAGCCCGCTAGGACTGGATGAAACAGGTAGGTGGGTTGTTGTTGAAGCAGGCACGGGCGCAGAGTAGGGTGAGGTGCGTGGGGGCGACAGTGGTGCAGTGCAACATGAGCCTGCTGGTCCTGAATGATGACTCGGTGCTTCGTGCCAACCCACGCAACACAGTGCTCAGGGTGAGTGGTGGGTGCAACTGGCACCGGGGGGCTGAGTGTAACGGACATGCCCACGGGGTACGGTTCATCGTGGGGGCCACGCTGGTGCCGTGCAACATGCGTCTGCTGGTCCTGACTGATGACCACGTGCTTCGCTCCGACCCGCATGATTCACTGCGGTGGGTTAGTGCTGGGTGGAGCAGGCATGCCAAGTGTGGTTGAAACAGGTACGTGGGGGCTGGGTGGACTCCCCACCCCACCCACCACTGTGGTCATCCACATGGCCACGCCTCTCTACCCACCCTTCACCCTCTCCCGCCCCCACTTTCTCCTTCCGTCACACCCCAACTGCCGTTGTGAGTGGCCCTCCGGTCCAGTGGAGTGGATCCGTTCGCTCTCCCCACACACCACCATCGTCGTGAGCTTTTCAATCCGCCCTTCAATACCCACCCCCTTGGACCCCCCTCCCCCCCTTTCTTTTCCAGTGGATCCGCTCCCTCTCGCCACTCACCACTGTGGTGGTCGAGATGGACGCGCCACTCAACTCGCCCTTTTTCCTCCCGCGCTTCCGCGCCGCCCTCCGTGTCTTCTCCTCCATCTTCGCCTCTCTTGATGCCGCCCTGCCACGGGATAGCCCGCACCGGCACACGTGTGAGCGCCTCTATTTCGCACGCGACATTGTGAATGTCGTGGCCTGTGAGGGCATTCAGAGGACGGTTCGGGCGGAGAGCCTGGAACAGTGGCAGGCTCGGATGCGCCGAGCCGGGTTCGTAGGTTTGGAGGTGGGGATGGAGGTGATGGAGGAGCTTCGGGGGGTGCTGAGGAAGGGAGGGAGGAAGTATGGGGGGTATGAGGTTTTGCAACAAGGGAATGGAGTGAGGTTGCTGTGGGAAGGGGTTCCTGTACTGGCTGCTTCTATGTGGCTTTAAATGTGGTATATGTTTTGCAGTATGATTTTGCGAGTTATTGTTTGTTCAGAGAAAGAACAAGGGGCTGATGGTGGATCAACAAGGCAGGCCTATGTTCATCACCAATTGTCAAGTGGATCAATGTGAGGTAGCTAATCCAGTATCTCACATGGCCTCACTGAACCCATACACATACCTAGGTGAAGCCACCTCGGTAGAGCAATGCCAGGATAATGAAGCACTAGGTTAGAGACGGCTACATTTTTTTGTGCTCATCCAAACAATCATCCCATCATATACGCGACAGTACACGACGCGTACAATTAAATTAAAACTTTTGGTGAGCATCCCGAGAACGCTTTCGCGCGCCGGGCAGATGCTTTCGCTGCAAGGGTCAGACACACTGCCACTGATGATTGCTTGGACCAGGCAGTCGGCTCCCCAAGATTGATTGTGGTGGTCCAAGCGGCAGCAAGTAGGGCAACTGGCCCATGTGGCTTGTGGTGCAAGCCACAGATTTCTGCCAGTTTGCTGTCTCATTCACCGACGAAAGATTGCTCGAAAGTGGTTCTTCACTTTTGACCTTGAAAATCGTTACCTTTGAGTGGCAGTACACTGTAGTACAGCTCAACCCCCCACTCCGTCCAAGCAGATACACCCTGTTTCGCGCTAGCAGAGCATCTGGTTGCAGAACATGCACTGGTTGTAGAACGTCACCACGTTTGAAATGGTCTTATCACCGACGGTACAAGCACATTCACAAGAAAGCGGTTAGCTAGGATGCTGCATGGTAAAGAACATAAACCAAGCGTTTCAAAGCGGTTGAAAAGGGTATACAGCGATAAAGAAAAATTTTGCCCCCAGTACCACTCCGTCAGCTGGTGCGGCTTTGCCCGCAGGTTTCAGCCATACGGTTTATGGCACCTGACCGCACTGTAGCAGCGAATCGCGCAAGGTGAGAGGGTCGAGAAACTGGGTGTAGCTGATTGTGCTGTACTGTACCCACATGTGATTCGTCAATACATGAAAGGGTCATTACGGGCAAGCCAGGGTTTAGGTCCCGCAAGAGACCCCTTATTCGCCTTGGAGATTTTTTGTGAATGTACGGGGGCAAGTGGAGAAATAAGGTTGAAAACTTTCATAATATCAGTGGAAGTCTTGAATGATAGCAGTATCTATACGTTTGAGGGCTTAAAATAAGGCAACTATTGAAGGTTCAGCTGATAGGTAGGTGATTTGTCCGTGTTGATCTTCACAAGGATGGTTAAACCCTAGGGTAATAATAGAATGCACTGTGCCTATGTTGAAATTAAATTATTTCATATTGGCCAAATCCTGAATTTGACCAGATGATTTGTTGTTTTGGCCATATATTTATTCGGCAATCTAAGCTCTTATTGTATATTTGAATGGTCGGTTTAAAGGTTATTATACAGGCTCGTCTTTCATTAAGGCTCATCACGTGCTAGTTTTTTTTGCTCTATGCAAATTTCCATGTAACAACCCTCGTTTCCTAACCATACGATGGATGTGAGTTTTACACCCCAAAGTATCTTTATTGAAACTAGTACAAATAATAAGAGTCGCAAATCATGATATCGTACACTCCAAGTAATCAAACTTGATGTATATATATTATATGAAGAATATCATACGACTGCATGTATATGGTTGGTCTCCATAAAGTTTTAATTGAAATAAAATGACATATAACATAGGAAGATTTTGTAGTTTTTTATTAGCCTCGAGTGTTTATTGTGTTTTTTAAAATTTCGGCTTCAACATTCACTCAAATTAACAGCAGTTATATTTAGGTACTGGTGATCAATCATATCAAATAGTCTTAAATAATCATTGGATGAGCTTAAATGAGTGGTCATGCTCGGAAAACCGATACCGAACTTTTAGCCAGTCAGTAACATATTACATAAGAAACTGTACTGTATCGGCATTAGCTCGACTCGACACAACTCATTCTCACCTATGTGGTCCAAAAGCACGATTATCTAAGATCCAATCCTCCATACAGTGCTGTCGTGTGCATGCGCACATTCACGTATACAGTTCATAAGCGGTTCATCATTATTGTCTTCAAGCCCACACGCGTGTCCTTTAATGCGTTTTGCTGTGCTCTACACCTTCTTTTGCGCTACACTGGCAACGGGATTCACTGGCTACAGTGAAACTGTTCTCCGGACATATTCGGAATTGTTACAATAACCGTCTCTAGGGGGTGAGTGATTCGCAATTTCGTTATCCTGGGTATCCTACCGAGCCATATGAAACGTTCAAACGACCGTCTTCGAAAGTAACGAACCACGTCAAACCGTAATGGTGCAAAAGTCCACTATAACGCGTCCTCTGGCGCGTTGAGCCACAGGGCCCATATAGCCAATGACAGTGTAGCACGAAAGAGGGTGTATGCCCTTCCACACCGTGGTTCTCATATCTTACTGGTCAGGCACAATGTGACGGAGTGTAGCCAATCAGTTTCGATAGCCAGGAGCAGAACCGACCGCATTTGGATGCGTCAAAGTTTCTCGTTATTCCTGCCCAACTACAGTAAGAGTGAAAAAATGTTGACAATCAGCGGTTAGACAAGACATAATTTACAGAAGAGTCAAACGAGTGTGGGAACGAAAAACGTTTTACAGCCGACGAATGGGAGCAAGCAGGCGGGAGAGGAGAGGAGGAGAGGGCAAGAGAGTCATGAGGGCGTTTATCAGAACACCCGTCGTGGTTTGGGCGCATTTCAGGCTGTTCGTAACAAGCGACTCCACGATTTTCTGCTACTTTGGGCGATTTGTGGCGACCAAAACCTCGTAAAGGAGGTTGGCCGAATTACGAACGCTGGCGATCATGATTCTCCAGTCGTGCACTCTGTACCTGACAGCAGGCGACCGATTTTCGTCACCCTCTAGCCGGTGAGATAAATTTGACGGGCGGTTTGAAGTCAAAACCGTCAAAACATGTGTGTCTTATGCACTTTCGAAGCCAAAGAGGCTGGCCTATTTGAGATGATGTTTGCAATTGAGCGAGCGGCGACTGGAACTCTTCCCTATAATGGTTTTGGGCAGCACCAACAAAAAGATGGTGCCGTCACTTTTGGACCTTCTAGGCATTCGCAGACGGTGAAGTGACGCGCCATTCTACTGGCTGCGACCAAACACTGTACATGTGCAAATTTCATCAACAGTGCTGAAGCTTGTTTGTTCTGAGGCTTTCAGCCCCGAAATACTTGGGCACTGTGCGACGACCAAGTTGTTCGGAAGTCACCTGTTACGAAGCCCGAAATGCGGCCTTGGACGATTCCAAACGGTGCACAGCGGTTTCGGAGCTTCACCGTCTTTAACCGCGACGAAACAAAACCAGACAGGACGAACGAGGGTGGAACACGCTGACGGATGGGGTGGAGAGTCGCCGATTGTTTTTTATGGCGGACCAGGAGGAGCCTGTGTACTGAATTGTTGGGGTTTCTGTAGCTCCCTCCCTCGCTCGCCATTCCTCTCCAGAAGTTCCTTCATGCAGAATTGAGGTTGGTCCTTGCAGCATATTTCCTGCGCTCAAGAACTGGAGTGTGCTAGAACCCTACCAGATCGTGATGTAACCATATGAACCGCACACGAACAGTATTCAAATCCCGTTGACAGCACGGAGTGTTTCTGTTATCTCCCATCAGCTAGAAATTGTCACAGCTACAGTGTCAGTGCAGGACTCTTCGTGTGAGCGGGGCGAGCCTTCATGATTCTTTCGAGTGGCCTAGTCAGCTGATTAGTCTGTTCCTGTCAAGAAATCACAGGGTCCTTCGTATGGCTCCTATTATTTTCACGGAAGCTGCTGCTTGGCCTACCAACCAGGGCGACTTCCCCGGCTCCATGGTTCTCATGGACGGTTTTAGTCATGGCGTGGACAACCCCACAAACGGCTGGAGCGGACGAGGTGTGGAAGCCGGCGGACAATACGGCAGTGGCATCGATAGAAAGCACCATCCTGACGCCCGTTTTCCATCGTCGGACGAGTTCGTTAAGGCGGCTCAGTTGCACAACAGCGATAATCGCGGCGACGTTATATCTAAATTCGGACGTGGACTTAACTGTGCAACTCCGTTCCTTGAAGATGGAATGTTTGACGGATTGCTGACTGGTGACGCGGCGATTCACGACCTGGCAGCATGGACGGACCCCGCGCTTCGGTTCGCAGAGGGATTCCTCCCATCGTCGGGATGCAATGGTATGACAAAACTCGTTTGAGCATGATATTTTTCATACTCCTGAACCTGCTGCTGCTACGATGATTCCACCAACACAAGGTAGTGCCACTGTTTTCCGTGCTATGCTGCTTAACCATGTAGCGATTTTCTGGCATGGGACCCTTTTCCTTGTAGTCCCTTCATTTTTTCCCCCTTTGTTTCCATGCTTCTCATCTCAGGTGTGCAGCAACCCCCACCACCGGTCGAATCGGAGCACGGAACCGAAATTCAGAAGCAGGGGCGGAATAAAAAGACTCGTGCCGGCGCTCTCTTCGTTCCTGCTGATGCTGCTGGTGGTTCTGGTGCTGCTCCTGCTCCTACTGCAGCTACTGCCGCTGCCGCTGCTGCTCCTGCTCCTGCTCCTGCTCCTGCTGCTGCTGCTTCTCCTGCAGCATCAGTTGGATGGAATCTCGACCTCCTGAGCGCTCCTCTGAGTTCAACGCTACGGAAGGCGTCGTCCGATTCAGGTCATACGCACACCAAAGCGCCGACTGGCGTCTGTTTGAGCGACCTCCGTCATAATGGGATGAACACTCCTGGCGGCGTCGGACACGCTCTGCCGTCGCAAGGCGGCGGGTCGTCAGTGCCCGAAAGCGTTACGCGTCGCGTCGACAGCCTTCGCGCCTCGACAAACTTGGTAACGAATAGAAGTGGTGACGTTCATGTCGCCGACGCGGATGCGAAGAGGTCCGGCGAAGGAATTTCGCACGGTTCGCAGAGTGGTAGTTTCCCCTGTCGCTCCGTCGCTTCGTCGGTTTGCGAAAGCGGGACT